AGCGGCAAATGGTGCTGCAAACCATGTGTATGGTCAGCTAATCAGATTCCGCATGTGATCTCGTCCAGGCCAAGCGCCTTGTAACCCTTCAGGCTCGTTATGTAGCCCTAGTATCGTCTGCAAAAACGAAAACGCTGACTTGCACATGTCGGCAAGTCACTGTCTAGGCTGCACGCGTCCAAACACAAGTAAGATACTGTATGGATGCAGAATGCGTGGCGCATCTCAAAAATAACTGGTCAACGCCGATAAATTACCCTTTATACTTCATGCAATTTTCATCAAGTTCACCTCTTCGTTGAGAGAATAATTGCTCCGAGCAAAATCAGAATTGAGAGGAAGAATGGGTACTTTAAATTCGTAGTTCCGTGACCCCCTCTGATGCCCTGTCCCCTGGATAGAATCCATAGTTGGACGGGATGGGACTCTATCAGGTTCGGGCCCTGGAATCCTACGACTGGTAACACCAGTTGGCACCACACCACTTCATCCCTGACCGATAATTACTGTTGAAGTAGTGTTTATATGGATGCTATCCCTATCATGAGCAACAATTTCTCTATTTGACAGAATCATTTTGGTCTCAGCAGCCACGGTGAGTCTCATTTGTAGTTGTTAGTTGCGTAGTTGGTGTGAAGATGCGGTCAAACTCGGGATATCTGGACGGTAGGTTCATTTTCCACACTTCATCAAGCTGTGGTTTGGCTCGCTTGCTAAGCCTACCGGCCTGACCTTGGCGGTATTGCAATACGGGACTAACGACAAGTCTTAGGCAGGGAAGAAGAGATTCCAGTGTGCGTGAGTAGTCTTCGTTTTCCTGGATTCCTGCCCCTTCCTAGGCTTAGTCCTAAAAGATGCCTCTGTATCACACGATAGCGCCTTCACCGCTGGGTGGATTCAATTCCACCACAAGGCACTTAACGACTTCCCAAAATCTTTGACTTGTTGCTAAAAATAGTGACATGAGGAAGAAGTCGTGGCTGCTGTTTATATTTTAGACCTTTCCGAAGAGTTTGTTGTCCTAGCCGTTCCGTAACCCTGACTGATTCCACTGAACTCTCCAAACAGCGGGGCGCTCATGGCCTTCAGGGCGACATTCAAAACAAGACATTTGAAAACCGCTGGTACGTGACATCAGGGCTAAGCCCAAAGAGAGGAGAAACTCCAGATAAAGCAAATGTTGCTCACGTCCCGCCCAATCTCTTCCCCCTGCTTTATCCTTAGATCAAATTGCTCTGTAATTGCTCACGTCACTTCTAGCCCAACGACATGATTGCCACACAGGCCCTAGTGGGCTTTGAAAACAAAAATTTAGCAGGACAAGTCGTCGTTTCGCTGTTTCTTTGCTTGATGACGATATTAATGACAATGTCGTTGTGTCGCAGAAAGAAAACGCAAGACCGGGTAATGAATTCGTCAGTCTTCATAGTTGGCGATCGTACGTGCGATTAGGCGATTAGGCGAGTAGGCGATGATTCAAAATGAAAAGTATACGGATCGATTAGGCGATTAGGCGAGTGGGCGATTAGGCGAGTAGGCGATTAGGCGAGTAGGCGAGTAGGCGATAGAGAAGGATGTGTATTGATTTGATGCTCCGCCCATCGAGCGATCGCCTAATCGCCTAATCGCCTACTCGCCTACTCGCCTACTCGCCTACAACGTTCTATGGGCGGAGCAAACCAATCAATACGTATGTGGTGCTCCCCGCCTAATCGCCTACTCGCCTGATCGCCTACTCGCCTACTCGCCTAATCGCCCAATCTATACGTACATTTTTCATTATAGACTAATCGCCCAATCGCTACTCGCCTAATCGCACGTGCGATCGCCAACTCTGAACGCTCCATTAGCTTCCAACTGAGATTGTTTCTTATCATCACCACATGTTTCAGCATTCCACGGGCAAATACGCTCCATACTCAGACTCGAAAGAGGTACTTGTTTTCTTTCCGTTACCTGGAAAATTTTAGCTGCCAGGTGGAGAATGGGGAAGGGGTGCACGCACGTGCGCGGTACATATTTACCCGCCATCATCAAAATACGACAATTCTCATTGTGTCTTGCGTCCTCCCACCGGTTCTCATGCTGTGTGAACTTTCTTGTCTGGTCGGTGTCTACCTCCCACGTTCCCATTTCCATACCACTGAATTGCTGTACTCAACTGCGTTATTATACCGACCCATTCCAATAACACTGACTACAGGGGGGCCAAAAAAAAAAAGACATTTTGCCTATGTCGGACTTCGGCTCTTTTTTCTTCGCAGAGATTGCTGTCGTTGACGGGAGTTCCTCAGCAGAGTATTCCCTAAGTGTTCCTCTATTAGTGTACGCAGGCTCTCCTTCACTGCCCTCACCGTCTTCAGAATATGACGTCATCTGTCACCGTCGTCAGGCTCAAGGAGGTCTACCGTAAGAGCTTCAGCCTGAAGCTCTTACGCAATTTCGTGAATCGATTTAATGTTGGATAGTTTTCTAGAGGCATTAGCTACCACTGTGCAAATCCCCTCGGAACTAGCTTTCCAGTAAGGGTCGTTATGGTACACGATCCTTCGAAGACCCCATTGAGATCGACCAGTGCACCATGTTTCCAGGGCGAATTCTTCTGATGCCGTCCACGTAGGTGACCACCATAAAGATTTTCTTACAGAATGGAATGCGCTCTGCTTAATAATCTTTGGGCGCTTGTGCGCTCAAGTTAGAACACCTGGTCGGTCAATTGCGTAGAATGTCTTAAATCCATCCTGGAATGTGAAGGCAAAATGTCCTTTTTTTGCCCCCGTGTATATGGCTAGTTTCAGATGGATAGACAAAGGAGGTCGGAAGAGCAGAGTGAAGAGGTCACAGCACTGTCGGCCTTATGGCCACCAAGTTCACAATCACTATCGAAATCTAAATCGGGATTCACATTGAAACAACACCGTTTACATAAGACACAGTCTGAGCCTGATATTACGAAGCCTACGAAGCAACTGCGCCCATCGACGAGTGGATCCAAGGACAGAAGGTAACACGTTGGATCGTCTTCAAGAGCTGCGTGGTCGGCCGATGTTAGATCGCTAGGCATAACCATCGTACCTTCATTCCCGAATTGCGTGTCGGGTCCGCACGTCTTCAGGGGGGTTCCTTTTAGGGCACTCTCGCCCGGGTTAGGCATCGAATCTCACCTGATTCTAACACGTAGGCGTAGGCTGCAGACAAGCGTTGATTGCAACGCCCCTCTTCTCGGCTTGGAAGGGCGCGACAGGGGAGCTGGAACCCCGCTTCACCTGCGATGCCTCCTTAGTGACCAAACCCCACCTTCGGGTGCCGTTGCCACGTGACGCTGCTTGGAAAGTACCCGCAGTTGCGGCCGCGGCCAGCGCTGAGCATTGCGGTTAAATTCATGCACTGGAACAACTGGAGCTATGCGTGTGAAACTCGTCCAACATGCCTCTTGTTCATCCCAAGGTGGAATGCTGTAGAAATAGAGGAATTCCTTGTTCGGGGTGTAATCGGGATTCCCATAATTTCTCTTTCTTTTCCAGACCACTCTTCATCTCTGCATCATGACGGCTCCCTCTCAGCATTACTTTATTACGGAATCGCTTGCCTTAGCATTAGTGACGCCCCAAAACTGATCCACAGCTGTGCGGCCACGACCAGTAGTTCGGGATCCAGACGATTCTGTTGACCAACACCCTGAAATTCACCTTTAAGGCACCTGTAGGACCGTCAGCAGACACCATGAAAACGTACAGTAAGCATAGGCTCGATATTCTTCTCTCTAAATCGCTAGGTGGTGTGACCAGGCCGCATTCCAAGGTCCAAGGTCCCTCACCAACGGCGTCTCCAAATTAACCTCCGCCTTCGTACCATCGCATTCCTGCCTATACGGATGAAGAAAAGTCCCCCTGAGTGGTTTGAGCGTACTGAAGAGCTAAAATAGTAAACAGCGTGGTAAACCGATTGCGAACCGTTGAATACGGCAATGTATTCGAAATAAAGTTGCAGTGACTGAGTGATCACATACTTATTTCAGTAAGCTATCTGGATCAGCAGAAAGTGGTCCAACCGAAGCAACTCATGCGAAGCAAGGCACCTCAAGATGTGAATTTTTTCGAGACAGTTTGTGAAGCCTTGCATTGAAAGATGTCTTTCCAGGTAGACATGAATGACTTCATTGTAAAAGCGGCTGCATCGCAGGTTGTTGTCGACCCAGCTCTAGTGAAGAAAAAAGGCAATATCGATGACGAAATAGCAGTGGGTGGTTGAAAAATTAGTAATTTTTACCTTTGAAAGCACACTCCATGTAGAAGCTCAAGTAAAGTTTAAGTCGGAAGACCCTCGTATTGAAGGAAAAAAGCAAAGCACACGCTTTAGACAAGCCTCAATAATACCCTGCTGCGCTCATGGGTCTAGAGAGGAATCATTTGAAAACGGTTCATAGGTGCTCCTTATCGTTAGGCTAAGCCCAGGAGAGGGAGAAACGCCAGGGAGAACAAAGGTTGTTCACGTCCTCTCCCAGAATCCTTTTCCCTCCCTAAGGCTTAGTCCCAAGTTCTGTAAGTGGTTCACTCACTTCAATATCCCCTACATGACATGAGCACCTGCCCTTCTCTTTAAGGTCCATTCTAGCATTGCACGATTCAACTGGACGAAAGGGGCTAGGCGTCAGGACAGAGGAGAAGGCGCTGAGTGTACTAAAGAGCACACTGATTCGAGATGCGCAGACGGCACAAATAAAACCAATTTTAGGGCCAGGTCGGTTTAAGGGCTAGGTATGGAGTTACCGCGTCTAGATTTAATTACAGCCTCGCGCCACCAGCGATAAGTGGTACAACTAACTGTAATGTCTAACGCACTCGTTCTACTCTTTCAGTCGAGAAATCGAGTACTGTGCCTTTAAACCTTTACAAAATCGACGCGTTAGAATAAAGATCCGAAATATGAAGGCGTTTGATTTTGAGCCCGAAATCAATATCGTGTGTTCCATTTTGTGACACGTCTGGGGCTTTTTATTTGAAATGTCCCGGTTTCCTTCCTAAAATCAGTATTTATTAAGGATCCAGTCAAGACGAAAGCTCGTCTGAAACAAGTGGAAGATGAAATGAAATCGGTGAATGCAACCATTGAAGATGACAAAAAAGATGTTAAAAAAGATGCCCAACCAGGGGTAAGTGAAGCGCTGTCTTTTACCTGAAGGGTACTCGAAGGCGTCTCGAATAATGAGGACGGAACTTCTAGCATTCGCTCTTTGGGATGCGCCACGCATTCCACTTCCATTTGTACATTCGTAGTGGCATTTGAATGCGATGTGGCCTATACAATGACTTGCGGGGCCAGCCGATGTACAAGTCAGTGTTTTTATCCTCCCAGACAAGTCTGGTACCAATTAACCGACCCGGAGGGATGGAAGGCTTGGTTGGCCCGGGCGACGTACGACCCAGGATTTGATCCACTGCCGTGCGCATGGTAAACAGCGCCATTTGTCTCTCTGTCTGCCCGTGAGGACGTGCTTAGTGTTGGCCGGTTGCTGTGCAGATCAAATGCCCGTTCGAATGTACCCAACTTCATAAGAGGGAATCCAATGCGTGGCCTACTGGCTACAAAGCTGAAAAAATGGCTGAGATTTACGCATGATCCAGATAAGTAAAGCAACACCTCCAGCAGACGGCTCGAAATTCCGCCACAATGGCGCTAGGGTCTTACAAATTCAGGTTTTGGCGACTAATCCTAGCATTTGGACGAGTTACGTCGCGCACACCCCATGACACGCAACGTGGATTACGGCGTAGCGGCTAATTCAAATACGCGCGGGTTAGTTGAGCCGTGGAGCAGGCAAGTTCGTACAACTCGTCCGGCCCCGCCCCTTCCTTATTTCAAGGGAATCCTTGTTAGGCTTCATTTTTTTGCTTCTTTTTTCATTTTTAGTCAACTCGGTCCACAACTACATTATCGACCGCTGCGACCCCACAGATTCGATTTAGGGGTATAGTTTTTTAATGGCAGTCGCAATATTACTTGAGTTTTTTCAGATCAAATGGGGAGATGCAAAATGTGTCGTTTATGAGACAAGAGATCAAGTAACCCTAGAAGACGATATCGATGACGCTGCAGATGTGTATTGATCAATTCGATCCACTGTCACTTAACCGATGGTCGATCGTTTGATATTCGATAACTATAGGCTAGCATCATTTCGTAATTGTAACTATAATCAGTTATGTTTCCAGTGTATTGACTATAAGTATAAAGGGGATTTAATTACCTACATTGTAATTTCTAATTAGGTATAACCTGTGCACATGCTTTTGTCGCGGTAGTTCTACAAATTGATGTGACGGAGAAACATTGCTGTAAGGAAAGGCCACTATTATTTAGTGAGAGCCAATGGACAATGAGCAAAGAAGATGTCTGAAACCCTGAATAAGACCCCCCAGTTTTAGTAAATTTGGAATTACAAATTAAAATTTTATACGTTCTTGTCCAAGCTTCGATACATTTTTGCATCATTTCTATCGCGTCCCCGTGCCACTATAATTATATTATACCAGTTTAGCTCCGCACGCAACCGCGCGCATCAAATGGTGGGCTTTAGTGAAACTGGACAACTTGCAGAATATTAGGTCACGTGACTGAGAAACTAACAGTAAGATGTTTTGGAAGATGTGTCACATGATGTTTCAAAGGTTGTCCAGTTTCGCTGAAGATTGTCGCGTAATGCGCGCAGTAGCATGCGGAATGAAAATGGTACTTATCATGACTTCGTAAACATTTAGCATTGATATCGAGCTCGGGCGATTTAGCGGTTTATAGAATTCCCACAATTGAAGAATCGGTGTGTAAGTGGAATATAACCAATCAATCAGCATCAACCGATGATGGAAATTGGAAATATGATTTTATTCGCTATTAGTCCAAGTCCAGATAGTGGAGCAGCTCAACTTCCTTTGCTTTTTTAGATGAAAGGTGGAAATGGAACATATTCCCGTGCTAGGAATCTGGTTCAGTTTAACCGAGTGCACACTCAATTGTCGCTATTTTTATTAGTGCACCTGCCTTTCATACCCCTTTCTGTCACCCACATTCACCGTATCTCCGTCCCATCTTGTAGCGTGTAGGAGCTAATATTTACTGTCACCACGAAGGCTACAACGAAATCAGCGGTACTCAAAATCCTAACTTCCTTATCAACCGTTATCGGTTGTTATCGCTTTTGATCACCCACTATCCGTGTTCCCGTCCCATCCCCTATACCACATGTGACAGCCAAGGTTCCAATGTCACCGCGAAAGCCGCAACGAAACTGGTAGTATCCACACTTTGACGCCCCTTATCAGTTCTAATCAGTTGCTACCACCTTCTTCCAATCACCCTTTTGGTCCCTGCCTCACCCCACATAATATTCATGAGTGCGAACATCTTAGGATCAACGCAAAGGGCGTTGCGAAACTGACGACGTTAGCATTCCGATGCCCTTTATCAGCCCTTATATCATTTGCTATCACTTTCCTTCGCTCACCATTTGGGTCCCAGTCCTACCCTACACAATATTCATGAGTGCTAGCAATCCACTGCCAACGCGAACGGCGTAAGGAAGTTGGTGACATCGGCATTCTGACGTCCGTTATCAGCTTCCTATCAGTAGTTATCACTTCCGCCACCCACATCAGTGTTCACGCCGGCCCCCTATATATCCTAGAAGTTTGAGCGCTCTGGGTCCAAAGGGAGTGAAGTTATGAATTTCCGGTCAGACACACACACACACACACAACCGCTTAGCCGATTATATATAGTAGGATTTTCGTATAATTTTATTCATCTCTCTTTACCTCTAGGTTCATATGCTACAACTTACTGCTTTTATATCCAACACAACTCTTAAATTATTTATGTAGAAGCAGGAAGGCGGAGGTGGGGGGAAAAAAAAAAAAAAAAAAAAAATAAAAAAAAACAAACAAACGGACAAAAAAAAGGCACTCCATTCTCTAAATCCAAAACGGAATCAGTTACATTATTCCAAACCGAGTGAGCCCAGCTGGAATGTGTAGAGCACGGACACTGCACTTTAGTCTACGGAAAACCATCTGATGGCCTTCTACACCAGCGACATCAGAAGATTATCCCACGGAAACATGGTGCATAGGACGAACACAGCGAGGTCGTCGACGGATCATAGACCATTCCGACGCCATCCGGAACGCTGGCCAACAGGTCTTGCACAGTCATAGACAGTGTCTCTAGGAAGCTTTTCATCGCTTAACCGATCGAAGAAGTTATGTAGCAGCTTAAGACTGGAGCGATTACGGTAGGCCTCCTTGAGCTCCACGGTGATGGCAGATGACGTCATATTCCTGGAGACCGTGAGCGCAGTGAAAGGTGGGCCTGATTCTTAGCGGGGATATCAGGAAATATTTTGTGGGTGCACTTCCATCAGATGTGACGAAAAGTTTAATGGTGTGCGCCTTAGGCCAAATCATTTTTTTGCCCCCTTCTCCTGTATACTCGATAGCTAACGTAGCGTTAGATGGTTCAGCTGTAGAAGATCGCGTAACCTGAAACTATAGCAAATTGCCGTCTACGTGTATGCTATACGAAGTTATTACGCCCTCAGCTTGACGCTCCTGCCTGCACTCTATCGCCTAAACAGCTCGCTCTCGACTACTGTGATCGCACATATTCAGAATTTTGCCACACTATAATTGGTTCACCCGCCCCGGAGTACTCCCTGTCCCCCAACGCTATCTCTTAGGACACCCACTTTCCTCCAGATTCGGAGCGGAATTAGGCCACAGAGTATTTAGACACGTTCTCTCGCGCGAACATTCACACTCGCATGCTCGAGCCGTCTGCGTCTCCGCCCATACAGCGTGCGTTGAGGATCTCTCGACGTGCCGTTGCGAACTGCGCAACGCAGGGTTGACTCTGCTGCGGACCATATGGCTCAGCATTCGTGACAAGTTCTCTAGAAGAATGTCCATAGTAGCTATAGCTACAGAAACGGCAGCAGCACCCTTGCCTTTCACTGTGTGCCAAAGAGGGACTCTAGCACTTGGCAAACTCCTGCCTTCAACAATTGTTCAGTAGGCGCACTGTCTTTGCGCAAAAGCTCAGTTCAGCACAGCTAAACACTGCTTTACTACACAGCAAAATTCATCAGCGATGTATTGATGGTGTTCACGTATACGTCTACCTTCTTCGTGATTTCCTTCGATGTCGTTTCTGAGAACGTTCAGACGTTGTACTGAAAACATCACGTTATACCCTTCGTATCAAGAAACGATAAGAGCGTCGAGTGCAGACCACACACCACAAGTGACGACGGCCTCCACAAAATGTAAATGTTTTCTGCCAATGAAATGATTAGCCTGTTGCAGTTGTATTCTATCAGTTGTCACTAATTACAACTATCAACTATCAGCTATCACTATGAACCACTAGTAACCAGATTTACTTGGAGGCCGTCGTCACTTGTGGTGTGTGTTCTGCACTCGACGTGCGAATGGATGATTCTGGAACGGAGAGTGTGACAAATTTCCGCGTGCGCTGGGAATCGCGATGAGGACTTTGGTTCCAAGGATTCAGTGGGATCACATCTTAGTATTTCAGGGAACAGTCCTAGATGGTACTCGAGGACGGTGGGGACAGCAAACTGCGAAAAACTGTTTAAAATTGTTATTTTTGTAGTAACCCACATATACTCCAACGTCTTCTCCTGATCTCCTGGAATTTTTAAGCGACCTCCCCTGTGAAACACTGTATGAAAAGCGGGCGGAGAAGGGGAGAGGAGGGGGGGGGAGTGGGAAGGGCAGGAGAATCCAACGTTGTTGAAAATGCCTCGTCTAGCAAGGTGAGCTATATTTTGGCTTAGGGAAAAGCGGGAGGAGTGGAGAGCTTACTGGAAATTGCAGTGTATGGAAATGGTAGTGAGAAAGAAAGAAATAGGATTTCAAGGCGTGGTCCACGGGAAATTCTTACATTCTTTCTCAACATATAAATAGGTCAGTTGTGATCACTGAAGTACAAAGCTTGACGTAAGTTATTCACTTTCCGATGAGAAACAAACCCACTATGGACACTCGAGGGTAGGTCGGGTGAAGGCAAGGGAACGCATGGAAATAAGTGTGTCTTGGAGCGGCTATGTATCAGGCAACGCAATGGTAGAATGGCTTGGAAGCGTTCGAATTTGGAGAATAGAAACAAAACGATCGAAAGAATAGGATGCAGTAGAAAGAGAAATGTTATTGCCTAGGTGGAAAAGGCCAAAAGAGTTTTAGTGAGGCACTCCGAGAACCAAGTGGAAGCGTTCCCGTCGCCAACATTTGTGACAGATGTACGGCGGTGATTTGAACGCGTTACAGTATAGCGGCTTTTCGAATTTATTCCCTAAACAAAAGCAATTTTTTTGTTCTTTCCGTTCTTAATGTGAATAATGGGTCCCAAGATTGTGATTCAAGTGTTAGGTAAGTCATGAGTTTTTCGTGGGCGATTCCTCTAATTATTCTTGGTTAGTCGTTCTTGAAATCGTTCAGATCGACTTACGGTGAACCTTTGTCGTCTCTATCTTTGCTTTCAGATTTTCTCTTGCTCGATTTTTCTGACTTGCGCCTGCTTCGATCAGTCGTGTCGTCGCTTCGTTTTTTCGACTTACTCTTGTCGCTGTCCTCATCACCTCTTTCTTTTCGTTCTTTTGAACGAGAACTCTTCTTACTAGAACGAGAACTCTTCCTGCTGTGACTTTTCCTAGAGCTTCTCGAGTGTTTTCTGGATTTCTCCGACTTCTCGTCTTTATCGGCTTCCGAGCTGAAATTATTTACTTTTCCTTTATTTGTTTATCCCTTACGCTGAAAGGCGCGCCACAAATCAGTAAGAAAGTCGATGAAGCTGTGCTGATAGTTCAGCAAGATTGATGCGAAGAAAGAAAGAATAAAAAAAAACGGGAGAAAAGGTGAAACCCGAGCAGAATGTTGGACACTACTAGCTTTGGACCGAAGTTTGGCAGAGAGAATTTATATCAACTGATTAAAGGAGACAGTCTTAACTAACCCAGAGTAAGCAGAAAGCCTTTTTCAATTTGCCCTTGAGCTCCTTCGCCTTTTCTCGATGTCGACGTTTCTTTGACGATTTGCTGCTGCGCCTGCGACTCTGAAAATCGTTACATTTATTTCGTTGTTTAATAGGAAGTAGTTGAGAATTAAACGTACCCTTTTGCTTTTTGATTTTGGCCGTTTTTCTTTAGGGGTTCGAGTGTATGCTATACGAAGTTATTACTATCCTTCTATTTATATAAAGCGCTAACTTTGTGTGTCGGTTTGTGTATCTGTATGTGTGTGTGTGAGTGTGTGTGTATGTATGTGTGTCCGTCCGCAAAATGAAGTGAGTGAGAAGGAAGCTCATGGGATAAACAAACCGCTAACAAATCGGGTAGCTTACAGGATTTGAGATATCAATGTTTTGTAGCAGGATAGTTGTGATAACACTCTTAGGGCTATATAAACACCTGCTTAGCACACTTCCGTTCATTCCACATGGTGCTGCAGTGGCAGCTGGAGGGCAGTGGAGAGAGGAAGGGAGGATGAGGAAGGGAAGCGAAAAATCTACCGTCATATCATGATTGTGTCCCTTCTACTGTTTGAAACACCATTGTGTTGCATACGCGTCACTTCCACGAGGTGTTGGTGTCACAGGAGGAAGGGACCATAGCGGAGGATAGAAAGCTTGCGCAGGAAAGGAAGGTCCCGGCGGTTGACGGGGGACTAATCTGGTCTAAATTCAAATTCATCCCGCAATGTGGATGGTGCCAAGGGAGGTCCTAATAGATAAAGTCTTTTTGACCGCCAACATCCGCGACGCGATGGCTGCACACTGACTCATCAAGGGCACGGGTCGGGATCGAACTGGTGCGTTATTTTATTCCAACATCAGGCGACAATGTGGCAAAGAGAAACGTTGGGGTGGGGGGGGGAGTGGGAGCAAAAAGCGACCTAGAACGTTACCTTCATCAATCTTCTTTTTTTTCTAGACAACACTTAATATTTCTTGTCTCTCGGCCGTGGTATGATGGAGAGACCCTGCGCTTCGAGGAGAGGGAAAACGCGAGATAGCCCGCATATGCGAGAGGTCTCAGACGCGCTCGCAGATTGATAGTGTGCCAGCCGCAGCGGTGTAACAAGATATCAGCTCCCTTTCGAACGATTCACTAGTCACCACTCCGTCTTCAAGAATCCCTTCTTTTCACCCAAGGAGATTCTGGCTGGACACCTAACCTCGACCCGTGACTTTAAGTTCATTAACTAACTCACTCTTTTCACTCCATTTGATGCCTTCACGAGGTCTACTGAGTGAGAGCGACGTCTCCTTTGGACGGTTTTCTGGATCCGGAATACCGCAACGGCACAGGTGACGGTTAATGTGAGTGCCCTCCAGGCATATGCGTGTATTATGACGTGATTCCATAGATATACGAGCGAATCGGGCCACCTACAAAGTAATTCGAGTGGAAAATAGCTTTGGGTTTGATGGCCCATGGTCCTCAAGTAAATGAAGTTGAGGAATTACCGATTCCGGCATCTGCAAGGTAGCAATACGCTCGACGATCAGTTGCCGATCCACTTTGCTGAGATAGGCAGAACGGATCTGAAAGGGATGCAAAATCGATCCAGAAACATTTTCACTTAAAGCAACAGTCCCAGCAGGGTGGGCGTGGTCGGAAACGGCTGCAATCCCCTCGGCCGATTCCCACTTCGGAGCTGTTCAGCCCCTAGTCAAGAACGTAAGAAGTGTGACTGAACAAAAACTCACCTTGGAAAGCCGCTAGGAGGGAGCTGAAGTGGGCGTGGTCGGAATCGGCCGAGGGGATTGCAGTCGTTTCCGACCACGCCCACCCTGCTGGGACTGTTGCTTTAAGCTCTCCTCTTCTGAGACAGGCCACGCGCTGCCGACTCTGCCGGCGCGCGATTTGACGCGGCCAAGTGGCGCGGCGCGCGACTTGACTTCAATTTTCAATTTGTGACTCACCACTGCGAACACACCCGGAGCATAGACTGCCGGATGTGGCTGTCCGACGAGCCACAGCAGTGCCGCATCGGCGACGACCAGCTCGTGCGCCACACGAAGTTCACAGCTGAAATTTCAAGCATGCCGAATGTGACCATTTATGCTTGCCGGGGGTGCTATCACGGTAGCAGTCAGCTGGTGAGCACTGGGGCTCATGTCCTCGAGTATGGGGGGAACATTCAAACAGGGCATTCAAAAACCGCCGGTAGGTGACACTAGGATTAAGCCTAGGAGAGGGGAGGAACACCAGGGAGAACGACCTGCTCTCTCAAATCCTTTCCCCTCCCTAAAGTGCGGTCGCAGCTGCTGCGAGTGGC